AGACAGATAAGGTGCCTGCTCTCACAGAGAGGAGGAGACAGACAAGAAACACATAAAACATTATAGGGAATATACCAGATGATGATAAAACACTCTACGGTGAACTGAAATTGGGGATGTGATAGGATGACTGGCTGGTTCTTTTAGATCAGAGTCATCAGGGAACATCTCTCAGAGAAGTTGACATTTCAGCTGAGAGGCAAGTGACTTGAAGGAGTCATTTTGCAAAGATCAGGGAAAGAGCATTTCAGGCAGAGTGACCAGCTAGTGCACAGACCCAGAGGCAGGAACAATTAAAGGACTGCAAAGAACTGATTACAAAGCCATTGTCATGTACATCAATGTTGATTGCATCATTATACCCAGGAGCCAAAAGATAAAACAACCCAAGTGTCCATCAACAAATGAATCGATACACAAAATGTGGTATATCCATGCAATGGAATATTATTCAGCCATAAAGGGAAGTGAAATTTTGATTACCCTTAAAACCATTATGCTGAGTGAAATAAGCCAGACACAAAAGGACAAATATTGTATGATACCTTTTATATGAAATATCTAGAGTAGGCAAATGTGTAGAAACAGAAAGCAGATTAGTAGTTACTAGGAGCCCTGGTGGTGCAATGGTTAAGAGCCATGGCTACCATAGTAGCTGTAATGGTAGCCAAAGTTCTTAACTGAAAGGTCAGCGTTCAGATCCAGCAGCTGCTCCTTAGAAACCCTATTGGGCAGTTCTACTCTCTCCTATAGAGTCACTATGAGTCGGAATCAACTCGACGGCTACTAGTTTGATTTTTCTTTTTTTAAGAGGCTGGGTGGAGGGAGGAATGGTGAGTTATTGCTTACAGAGTTTTTTGAAGGGGGGCAATGAAAAAGTTTTGGAAATAGATAGTGGCGATGGTTGCATAATATGGTGAATGTAATTAATGTCAGTGAATTGTGCACTTCAAAATGGTTTAAATGGCAAATTTTTTGTTTTATATACAGGTAGTCCCCAGGTTACAAATGAGATCCAGTCCTAAGTCTGTCTTTAACTCAAATTTGTAGGTAAATTGGAACAGATACATATGATTCTTATTTAGCATCACTTAGTCAAATGTTTGTCTTAGTATACAGTATATATTTTACCCTTCTATGTAAATAAAAGACAATAGAGAAGCTCAATATCATCAGTCAGAACAAGGCCAGGGGCCGACTGTAGAACACACCATCAATTGCTCATATTCAGATTCAAGTTGGAGCTGAAGAAAATCAAAACAAGTCCACGAGGGCCAAAATATGGCCTTAAGTATATCCCACCTGAATTTAGAGACCATGTCGAGAATACTTTTGAGACATTAAACACTAATGACCAGACGAGTTGTGGGATGACATCAAGGACATCATACACGAAGAAAGCAAAAGGTTATTTAAAAGACAGGAAAGAAAGAAAACACCAAAATGAATGTCAGAAGAGACTCTGAAACTTGCTTTTAAGCATACAGTAGCTAAAACCAATGGAAGAAACGAAGTAAAATAGCTGAACAGAAGATTTCAGTGAGCAGCTTGAGAAGACAAAGTGAAGTATTATACTGAAATGTGCAAAGACCGGGAGTTAGAAAACCAAGAGAGAAGAACACTCTCAGTATTTCTCAAGCTGAAAGAACTGAAGAGGTCAGAAAAAATTCAAGCCTCGAGTTGCGATATTGAAGGATTCTGTGGGCAAAATATTGGACGATGCAGGAAGCATCAAAAGAAGATGGAAGGAATACACAGTCACTCTACCAAAAAGAATTGGTGGATGTTCATTTCAGGAGGTAGCATATGATCAAGAACTGATGGTATTGAAGGAAGAAGTCCAAGCTGCACTGAAGACATTGGCGAAAACAAGGCTCCAGGAATTGACAAAATACCAACTGAGATGTTTCAACAAACAGATGTCAGAGGTGCTCACTTGTCTATGCCAAGAAATTTGGAAGACAGCTACCTGGTCAACCGACTGGAAAAGATCCATATTTGTGCCCATTCCAAAGAAAGGTGATCCAACAGAATGTGGAAATTATCAAACAATGTTATTAATATCACACACAAGTAAAATTTTTTGGAAAATAATTCAAAAACAGTTGCAGCAGTATATCAATAGGGAACTGCCAGAAATTCAAGCCAGATTCCAAAGAGGACATGGAACAAGGGATATCATTGCTGATGTTAGCTGGATCTTGGCTGATAGCAGAGGATACCAGAAAGATGTTTACCTGTGTTTTATTGACTATGCAAGGTATTCAACTATGTGGATCATAACAAATTATAAACAACATTGTAAAGAGTGGGAATTCTGGAACACTTAGTTGTGCTCATGAGGAACCTGTACATAGATCAAGAGGCAGTGATTTGAACAGAACAAGGGGATACTGCATGGTTTAAAATCAGGAAAGGTGTGCATCAGAGTTGTATCCTCTTACCATACTCATTCAGTTTGTGTGCTGAGCAAATCTAAGAAGCTGGACTATATGAAGAAGAACGTGGCATCAGGATTGGAGGAAGAGTCATTAGCAACCTACCATATCCAGATGACACACCCTTGCTTGCTGAAAGTGAAGACGACTTGAAGCACATACTGGTGAAGATCAAAGACTACAGCCTTCAGTATGGATTGCACCTCAACATAAAATAAAAATCCTCAGAACTAGACCAATAAGCAACATGGTAAATGGAGAAAATATTGAAGTTGTCAAGGATTTCATTTTACTTGGATCCGCAATCAATGCCCATGGAAGCAACAGTCAAGAAATCAAGCAACGCATTGCATTAGGCAAATCTGCTGCAGAACACCTCTTTAAAGTATTAAAAAAAGCAAAAATGTCATCTTAAGGACTAAGGTGCACCTGACCCAAGCCATGATATTTTCAATCGCTTTATATGCATGTGAAAGCTGGACAATGAATAAGGAACACCAAAGAAGAATTGATGCCTTTGAATTATGGTGTTGGCAAAGAATATTGAATATACCGTGTACTGCCAGAAGAACAAACAAATCTGTCTTGGAAGAACTATAGCCAGATGTTCCTTAGAAGCAAGGATGATAAGACTTCGTCTCACAGACTTTGGAAGTGTTATTGAGAGGGACCAGTCCCTGGTGAAGGGCATCATGCTTTGTAAAGTAGAGGGTCAGTGAAAAAGAGGAAGATCCTCAGTGAGATGGATTGACACAGTGGCTACAAATGATGGGCCCAGGCATCGCAACGATTGTAAGGTTGGTGCAGGACCAGGCAGTGTTTCGTTCTGTTGTATGCAAGATTGTTATGGAACCAACTTGATGGCACTTAACAACAACAGTTTAGAAACAATTAAGAAACAATACCAAACCGAACAATGTTTTCATGAGTGTCACAAAGTAGTGCGTGTGTGTTCGTCTACAAACCATTGTATTTAACTCATTATGGCTGTTCCTTCTTAAGTAAGAGTTGTCTGTCAGTCAGACATTGGCAACCCGGGGACTGCCTGTATTTTACGTAATTAAAAACACAATAAAGGGCATTGTGATTGGCACAGAGTGGACCATCCAGGGGCAAGCTTACAAGATGAGGTCTGAGAAGTCAGCAGGGCCTTTGTAATCCAGGGGGAGCATTTGGATTTTACTCTAAATGTGATGGGAAACTATAGGAGGTTTTAATATGCAAAGGAAAAGACTGGATCTAATTTATATTGTTAATACATATATCATCAGGGATGAATCTCCTAGACAGAATGCAGAGTGAAAAAGCAAGCAATAAAAGCAAGTATGGTTTGACTTGTATAAAGTCCAAACAAGTGCAAAAATAAACAGGGTATTGTTTGGGGATACATAAAAATGTGATAAAGAAAGTGAGTGATAAACACAAAATTCAGTGCTGTAGTTCCTGTGGAGGCAGTAGGAGGAGGGGAGTATAATTGGGAAGGGCACACAGGAGACTTCAAAGGTATCAGTAGGTTCTATTTCTTAATAGAGGTACAGGGCACTTGAGTTCTTAACATATTACTATAAATACCTTTTATGTATACCATATATATTCATCTCTATGCATGGGATACTTCATTATCAAATTGTATTTTTAAACCAATTCCTCTGGCTGCTCAATAAATGGATTGTAGAGAAGCAAGAGAAAAATCAAAGAGAAGAATTAGAAGCTATTGCATAATCCAGAGAGATGATGGCAGCGAGGGAGGGGAAGGGAGTAATCTGTAGCTTGTGCAACAGGGTGGATAGTGGTGCCATTTACCTAGTGGGTAAGGGCCCCAGGAGGAAAATGTTGGGAAGATAGGAAATCAAGAGTTAAGTGATACCCAATACTGTGATAGGTCTATTAAACATGCATGTGAAAATATCTAGTAGATAGTTGGATAAACAAGACTGGAATTGCAGGGAGGTCAGGACTGGAGACCTAGACTCGGGCATTACTGGTGTATAGATGGTATAGAGCTCTGGGTCTGGATGGCTGAGGCTCTATTGTGCTCAGACATTTATATTCCTTCTTAGGAACCTCCAGACTAGTTGCTGTTGAGTTGACTCCGACTCATGGTGACTCCATGCGTGTCAGAGTAGAACTGTGCTCCATAGGGTTTCAGTGGCTGATTTTCCAGAAGTAGATCACCAGGCTTTTCTTCCAAGGCACTTCTGGGTAGACTCAAACCTCCAAACTTTTGGTTAGCAGCTGAGCGTGTTAACTACTCGCACCCACTGGTTATAGCTGCTAACCAAAAGGTTGGAGGTTCAAGTCCACCCAGAGGTGCCTCAGAAGAAAGACCTAGTGATCTACTTCTGAAAAATCAGTCATTGAAAACCCTGTGGCACACAGTTCTACTCTGACACTTCTGACACACATGGAGTTACCGTAAGTCAGAGTCAACTCAATGGCAACTGCTGGTGTGAGCCTCAGTCACCCTAAACTAGCATATGAAAGCTGTTGCAGTATCAAGAAGTGTGGCATCTAAAAACCTTTGTATAAAATAATTTATACTTAACTCTTTTTCATTTCTAGATTTTAGAAATATTAACTTTCTGCACTCTCCTATATTTCCATAAAAGAAAAGGAATGAAGCATATTGTGATTCTGCTAACCCTGGTGGCACTTCTAGGTAAGAACATATTTTGTTTTCTTATTCTTTAATCTAGCCATGCTAAGTCATAAAAAGAGTTTTGAAGAAAAATACTTAAGCATTCTATTTCTTTCTCATTGTTTCCATGTTTTAACTCTGATTTGCAGCAAAGAAACTGAGTCTTCAATTACGCAAATTGTTTCACATGTCTTTCTCTAATTGATCTTTTTAAAATATATTTAAAGACATTGCTTCTTACTAATCTTTATTTGCATTCTGACAGTTTGAGAGTTTTTTTTTTTTCTTAGTAAATAACTGAAAAATATTAAAGGAAGAACAAACTAATGAACCCAATTGTAACTTTTGTGTCAGGAATTAGTAAGAAATAGCCTCTTTACATTTTTAAAACAATTTAAAATATGGCTAATATAAGCAGTATACTTTTCTTAAATACCACATTTCTTTCACTCATTGTTCACCCACTCATTTCCTTTTATTCCAGAGGCACCTTGGAAGAGTTGAAAAACTGATGCTTAGATATGACTGCTATATACATATTAATGTATTCTCTCTCTCTCCTTGTCTCTCTTTGTCTCTCTCTCTCTCTTCCTCGCTTTCTCTCACCCACACACACATCCACACACATTCATATATACCAATACAAAGACACCTCTTTAAATCACTTGGGAAATTCTCTTTTTTTTTTTTTAGTTTATTAATAATTCTTCCTTTGCCTCTTCTTTGCCTATAAGATGATCCATACATTATATGTTGCTTCCTATTATTTTGTAGATTGTACTTGTACCATTGGGGCAGGCTGCCATTAATGGGGTGCTGGGATTTTTATTTCTCATCTCATCTAGTTTTCTCTTTAGTATCAGAAAGTTTTCATTTGGGATAATTACTTAGAGAAACAAATTTACACTATACATGCTCAGGAATGCTGATGATCAACAGAACAGGAAAGGAAGTTTATGTTTTTTCATTCCAAATAACCAGATAGAGAGAACAAAGCAAACCCTAAAGGCAGAAAATGTACATTATATACAAAAGGATAGGAAATAAAGGAAATTTTAGATAGCTGAATTAAGATCATATCTATCAGTTATGATCATAAATGTAAATGGAGTAAGTTTACCCAGCAAAAAAAGGAAGATTCTCAAATTGGATTCAGCCAGCAGCTAGTGAGAGTTATTGAAACTGCTGCTGCCCAAGCCCCCTGAATGTCTCCTTTCCCAATGCCCTGCCCTCCGACCCCCCGGGTCTGCCCTGATTAACAACTAGGTATTAATGAAGTGGTAAGCACTCGGCTGCTAACTGAAAGGTCGGCAGTTTGAACCTACTAGCCACTCCGTGGAAGAAAGATGTGGCAGCTGCTTCCATAAAGATTACAGCCTTGGAGACCCTATGGGGCAGTTCTACTCTGTCCGACAGTCCTGTAAGTTGGAACCGACTTGTCGGCCGTGGGTTTTATTAATGCTGGGGGCCCACGTGAACCTGTTGCAGTGGTGGACAGAAAGGAGGGCCAGCACGGTTCTGACTGGCCGGTACCCTTGCTGGTCATGAAAATTTTGGCAACAACCATAGAACTCATCTAAAGCAAGGTAGCTTAGGTTGAAAGTAAAAGAAAGCAGGAGGTTACGATATTACTCTCTACATTAAAATCAAGGCAGAAAACATTAAATGAGACAAAATGTTGTAATTTATACTGATAAAAGGGTACAACCCACAAGAGCATCGTATTCTGTTACATATTAGGTCACACCTAATACGTAACAGAAAATCTGCAGAAAATACAAAACTAAGTTAACAAATGAAAGGGGAATAGGAGACTTCTCTGAGCTCATGGAAGATAAGCAGACAGAAAAATACGTCAAGATGGGGGATCTGAATACTTCTTTGATCTGGTAAAGCTAATACTGAACTCCAAATACAGAAAACAGCAAATAGACCTTCTTTCAAGTGCTTGTGTAGCATTTACAGAAGTTAATCATATACCTGGCCACAAAGAAATCCTTGATAAATTCCAGAAAGTTGAAATAGTACAGACCACATTCTCAGATCACAGTGAAATAAAATCGGAAAATAATAACAAAAATAGAAACCCATAAACCCCCACTACCTGGAAATTTTAACACTATCTCTTTAAAGTGCACTAAGCCAAAATAGTCACCAAGGTTTCATTGTAGCCCATATTTTAAAAATTATTATGAAAACACTTAATATTAAAACCTATAGTTTATGACTAATACTGTATTCAGAAGAAAATTCATTGCTTTAAATGTAAGTCAATTAAGCACTCAAATGAAGAAATAGGAAAAACCAAAACTCTCAAATGAAGCCGAGGAAAGCAGAAAGAAGGTATTAATAAAGATAAAGGCAAAAATTAATGAAATAGGAAATAGAAAAGCAATAAATCCAATAATCAGTTCTTAAAAGAGAACTAATAAAAGATGCTGCATAAGGAAAAAGCACAAATACCCAAAATTAGAGCTCAGACATATATTATGCAGATAAGTATAAAAAGTTAAATAAATTGCTTATTTTTTAAAATGACTAAGAAGGAAATAGAGGAACTTGTTAAAAGCTACATCCTAAAAACAAGTCAGGCCTAGACAATTTCAAAGATAAAGTCTGCAAATCTTTAAGGAACAGATTATTCCAATATTGTTTAAACTATGTGAGGACATAAGAAAAAAAGCTTACAATTTTTTTTTTTTACATACTCAGTATATTACTGATGCCATAGCTGAAAAATATGGCACAAATAAAGAACACTGTGAACTAATTTCACCACTGAGTACTGAAATTAAAACACTAAATAAAATATTAACAAATAGAATCCAGAGTGAATAATACATCATGGCCTAGTGGTCTTAATGTAACCAGTTCTTTTTCTTTGCAACATTTATAGCAATTTGTGATTGCATATTCTACCTGTATATTTACATATTGTTATAAACTTATCTTCCTCCAGATTAATCCCATGAGAGCACAGACAATGTCTGTTTTATTTACATTACATAGACTTTTCTAGAACTGGACATATTGAGTACACAATAAACATTTGAATTAATTAACTAGCTAATTAATTATGAGAATAAAAAGATAGTTCTTTAAGAAATCCATTAGTATGGTTCATCATGTTAACAACTCAGAGGAGAAATATCATGTAATTATCTCAATAGATACTGAAGAGACATTTTAAAATTTAATATCCATTCCTACTCAAAGACTTGAAGCAAAATAGGAATACAGGGATGGGATACTTGTGTGTTAAAAAAACATACTTTTTTTAAACCAAAAGCTGAAGAATCTCCAATGGTGAAGTACCAGAAACGTTCTCATTGCAGTAAGAAACGAGAAAAAGATGACTTCTCTTTACTTTATACTCTTCTGAGATGTTTGAGTGTCTTACAATGATTGCTGATGACTTTTACAGGAAACAAACTGACTATGAAAATTACGTAGCAGCTTTGAAAAAGATTTATGGTGTTATGTTAAACGAGAAAAAACCACACACAAAATATTACCTACCTTCATTGTGATTAAAAGCATTTATGAGGCAAAAACTGGAAATGAATGCAAGGTGGTGGGAATATAGGTGGATTTTTTTCTTTACTTTATTGTTGTTGTAATATTGTTTGTAGGATAAATTAAACATATAAATAAAAATGAAAATAGAGACAACTGGATTTCCAAATGCAAAAGAGTAAAGCTGAACCCATACCTCACACTGTTTATGAAATTAACTCAAAATGGATCAACAAACTAAATGTAAGAACTAAAACCGTAAAATTCTTAGAACAAAATATAGGGGTAATACTTTGGGATCTAGTTTTAGATAATTAAAAAAAAAACCAAACCCACTGCCATCAAGTCAATTCCGACTCATAGCAACCCTTTAGGACAGAGTAGAACTGCCCCATAGAGTTTCCAAGGAACGGCTGGTGGATTCGAACTGCTGAAGTTTTTAATTTTGATGAAGTCTGGTTTATCTATTTTGTCCTTTGTTGCTCATGCTTTTGGTGTCATATCTAAGAATCTATTATCTGATTTTCATGGTCAGTTTCTTTCTTGTAAAAGTCATTAGCAATCATTGTAAGATACTCAAACATCTCAGAAGAGTATAAAGTAAAGAGAAGTCATCTTTTTCTCGTTTCTTACTGCAATGAGAACGTTTCTGGTATTTCACCACTGGAGATTCTTCAGCTTCTGGTTTAAGAAAAGTATGTTTTTTAACACACAAGTATCCCTGTATTCCTGTTTTGTTTCAAGTCTTTGAATAGGAATGGATAGCTAAAACAGATAATAGATTCTTAGATATGACACCAAAAACATGAGCAAAAAGGACGAAATAGATAAATTGGACTTCATCAAAATTAAAAACTTTTGTTTTTGTGCATCAAAGTACTTTATCAACCAAGTGAACGGACAAACTACATAATGGGAGAAAATGTTTGGGGACCATATATCAGATAAGAGTTTAACATCTAGACTACATAAATAACTCCTACAATTTAACAACAAGACAAAAAACCCAATCAAAAAATGGCCAAAGGACTTGAGTAGACATTTGCCAAAGAAAATATACAAATGGCCAACAAGCGCATGAAAAAATGCTCAGAGTCACTAGTTATTAGGGAAATACAAATCAAAACCACAATGAGATACCACTTCACCCCTCACCCCCACTAGTATAGCTAAGATCAGAAAAACAGAAAACAGCAAGTGTTGGCAAGGATGGGGAGAAACCGGAACCCTTATTCGTTGCTGGTGGGGTTGTAAAATATAGTACAGCCATTGTGGAAAACGGTTGAGCAGTTCCTCAAAAAGTTAAACGTAGAATTACTGTATGACCCAACAATTCCACTCCTAGGTATATACCCAAAAGAATTAAAAGCTGGAATGCCAGCAGCACTTCTACATCAATGTTCATAGCAACACTATTCACAACGGCCAAAAGGTAGAAACAACTTAAATGTCCATCAGCAGATAAATGGATAAACAATGTGGTATATATACACAAAGGAATATTACTCAGTCATAAAAAGGAATGAAGTTCTGATACATGCTACAACATGGAACCTTGAAAACATTATGCTGAGTGAAATAACTTAGTCACAAAAGGACAAATATTATATGATCCCACTTATATGAAATATCTTAATTAGGCAAATGTATAGAGACCAGAGTTTATTAGTGGTTACCAGAGGCAGAAAGGAGGGGAAAAGGGAGAGTTTTTGCTTATCGGTCACTGAGCTTCTATTAGGGGTGATGGAACAATTTGGAAACAGATAGAGGTTATGGTTGCACAACATGGTGAACATAATTGATGTCACTGAATTGTACATGGTAAGAAATATTGAAATGACAATTTGTTATGTGTATTTTTTACCACAATTTGAAAATAGAAAGTTGAGGGCAATCAGGAAGAAAGAAGTCTGGCTTCAAGTGAGGGAAGACAATTAGAAGTCTCCCTTGCCCGTGCCTCTGATCTCCTTTCTGAAGGTGCGCAGAAGGGTCTTTCAAGTTGATCAGGAAGTTGAGAAAGCTAGGAAGTCCTTCGCTATCCTTAACACACGCCAGTTGCCAAAGCAAAATTAATAAATAAGATATTTATGTCCCTAATAAGGAGCTCTGGTAGCGCTGTGGTTAAGAGCTCGGCTGCTAACCAAAAGGTCGGCAGTTCGAATCCACCAGCCACTTCTTGGAAACCCTCTGGGGCAGTTCTACTCTGTCCTATAGGGTCGTTATGAGTCAGAATCGACTCGACGAGAACCGGCGAATAAGGAGACATCAATGGCAATCTAAGGAAGTGTTTGGAAGGAGTTATTGATGAAGAACTTAGAATAAACTGAGAAGGCTAAATTTCAAAAACAGGTTGGCATATGTTAGGAAAAAAATGGTGCTGTTATAATGATGAAAGTAATGTATGTTTATTGTTGAGAATTAGGAAAACAAAGATACAAAGAGAAATATAAAAGTCTGTAATTAAGCACTGTCGTACAATACTGATGGGAGTGTGACTGGACTTTCTGGAAGGCAGCTTGCCAACTTATTTCAGAAGCTTAACTAGTGGCCACTGACAAAGTAATTCCCCGTTAGGTGATTTTCCTAGGAAATAAGCAGAATGACATACAAAGACGTAAGTACAAAGATACTCATCACAGCCTCATTTTTAATAGTAAAAATATTGGATGTAATCTAAAAATCCAATAACAGGGAGTTGTTAAAATAAATTATGCATTCATATAAAGGCCAATAAAAATTATGCTTTAGAAGAATACATAATGGCATAGAAAATACATAAAGGCAATAGTAAGTAGGTTCCTAAGTAGTATATACTGTATGAGTCACATGTTGTGGTATAATACATACTGAGAGAGAGAAAAATAACTAAACGGAAAGGTACCAAAATGGTAAAAGTGATTTGGGGTTGAGTGTTAAGGTTATATGTGATTTTAATTTTTCTCCCATGCTTTTCTCCATTTTCTAACTTTTCATAAGTGAACACATATACTTTTATCATTAAAAAAATGAGTTTAAGTATTATTCATAATCCCAGTACCTAAAATTAACCATTGATAGTATGTATTGATGTAGTTTCTTCTAGTGTTTTTTTCTGTGCATAACAAGTACTTATTATTTTTATGTATCCAACATTGGAATGATACTGCATATGCAATTTTATATTTCCACCTATTCTCATCATCCCCTGCCCCTCCCCCCCAAAGTTTATAAGTACTCCACCAGCCTAGAAATAATTTGGAAAGTTATGATAAATAGTGACTAATCAGCTGGTAATTGTACATGCTTTGAAAATATAATAATTAACTAGAGCAACTGATAGTTTGTTTAGCTGTTTCATAAAGAATTCTAGTTTTGTTTTTGTATTGTGTTTAAGTGTAATTTAACATCAGATGGTGGTTGAATTAGATGACCCTTAAGTTCCTTTGCAGTTCTGAGGTTTTGACTCTAATGGAACAATATGTTCAACTCCTTCTCTTTGTTAATTATTCCTTTGGGAAACCTGGCTGTTCTGACCACGAGACCATAACCACATTGTGCTCTAATTTCAGGCAGTGTTTAGGAGGAAATAAATGTCCCTCAACAGCTAACCTTACAAACTTAAACCATCAGTGACACACCGATCTCTATAGAGATTTAAAATTCCTAGATCAGCTAAAATATAACTATTTTCATAATCAGTAGAAAATATGTAAAAGTATCAAGTCAAAAGATATTTTAAGATGGAGCGGGGCCCAGCTGTAAGGGCCTCTTCGTTCCTTTGAGAGCCTTGCTTTTAGAATTTGCCACCTGGTCTCTGTTAATTATGACTTTTAACTGAAAGAAAATGCCTAATTTGGAAGTTTGCCCTGGTACCCTTCAAGTTAAAATATATTTTTCAGGTTTTGGAAAAGGAAATTATGGAAGGTTCTTCCAGGTTGGCCATCACCATCTGTTTTAAACATATTCTTTTTTGATATATATATAAAAAGAGAAATAATACCGTTTCAAAAGCTAACAGGGATAAAGCTGAGATAATGTTATAACCAAATAGAGCAACAGCAACAAAGGGAGGATGCCGATTTCATATTTATTGCCTTTGACTTATAATTATTTGATTTCATGTAAAAATTATTTTTAAGTTTCTGTGGGTTTCAGCTAAATTATGGAATTACATGCACCAGTAACTTCAAGGTACCTAAGTCAAAAAGAAAGCCCTATCTTCTTGCTACCAAAATGTAGTATTACCAGGAAATGCCCCATTGCTTTAATGTTGATATAACCTTATCAAGTTGCTTTTTCTTAATTGTTACTTGAAACCTATGAAAAATTTGCTCTCATAGGTATAGGTTCCGCTTTAGTGTAGAAAACATCCATTGCTCATGTAAATCTTAGGTTTATACGGTTGATCCTGAGAAATGAATACTCAGCTCTGGCTCTGTTTCCTGTCGGTGTCTTTGTCAAAACAGTATTTTTAATGACACTTCTAGGCATTTATAACAAAGAGGGCTCATGCAACTCTTAGGGCTCATGCAACTCTTAGTAAACTGAGGGAGTGAATTGATTTTCACTTTCCACTCTTCTCATTTATTTGGCTTTAACATTTTTCTGTATAGTTGAATAGTTATTTTCCCATTAATGTCACATGAACAATCTGACTTTTCTTACCTCCTTCCTTCATTATTTGCACCTTTCTCCTCTACTAGTGATTATAAACTCAGCAGCATCCTTTCAGCGGTTAGGGCTAGAAGCTAAGCATCTTGCTCCAAAGCTAAAAAGCACCCAGTCACACAGCAGATCTTTAGCTGATTTAAGCGTATTTAAAGTCCAGCAGAGCCTGAGCAACAGGGCTGCTGCCTGGTTAAAGTGGCATCCTACCCCACGTCTCTCACAACAGTGTTCATTCTTAAAGCACAATTGGCATATTTAACTCTACCATGTTAACTTAAGATAGTTATTTGTCATTCTCTCTCAAATATGTATTTTATTTTATTTTTTTTCTTTTTCAGCTTCATTGACTGTTATTTCAGTAAAAGCAGTCTCAGGCATGATCACTTTTTCTGTGACGGATAAAACGCAACTAACTTATCCCATCTTCTATATTATGTTCATCATCATGATAGCATCTTGTGTTTTCCAAGTCAAGTAAGTTAGCTTCTACATACTCACTAATCTTTCAACATCCCTGTGTGTCTCTGAGCATTAATCTTTATTAGCTTCAGATGATAATTAAAATTAGCTACAACTGATTTCTAAGGGTGAGGGGTCAACAGCTTATCCTCGGCCAACATGCCTCGCTTTGTCCTTCGCATCCAATAATACGTTTTTGCTAAGCATTGCCTTCATGTCTTGTGAGTTCTAAAGTACGGCCATAATCCAGCTAAATGCACTTTGATACTTTCCCGATGCTCTTCTGCTTGTAATTAATATCCACTGTACACAGGTTGTCATTAGCAATAAATCAAAGGGGCAGGTCCACATCCAGGATTTCATTCTAAATATAGGAAATACATGAACCCTTCACCTTCATTTCTTAGCTCATGCTCATTAATTGCCCAGAGATGGACGAAACCAGACGTTTGGCTGGGAGGGAAATCCTTTCTTCAGAGTTTTGCGTCTTTGGCCAGAATTCTCTTTGAACCCATGGGATTGCAGAGTGACTGTTTTATGTTTCTCTTGGGGGCCTAACAGTGGTGACATGGTACATTTTTAATTTCTTGCTCTTCTTTCCCCCCACCTCCATCTGCTCTGATCATTTCCCCTCCATTTCACATTGTCATGCCTTTGCCTGCTGGGCTGTCTTGAGTCGAACAGAAAGTTTTCTGATCACCCCAGAATGCTATGCAAAAGCATCATCCCAGTGCCAGCTGGGAAGTCAGAACCCAGTAAAGTCTAATTGTTATGGGCTGGATATAGGTCCTGGTACAAAGTCTGTGGAACGTTACTGGAGAAACCCAATGTTTTGTTGACATTTTGTTGGTCATTCCCTTATAAGACTTAATGTGTTTCTAATTCTTGAATCTTACTATTTTGGTTCTTGTCTCTTTCTTCTTCTGAATTAATCAGGACTGCTACCGTATCTTTTGGAATTTAGTGATTAGCAGCATTATCTTTATACTATGCTTTTTGAGTTTAAAAGGCAGATACAATTGAAGGGAAAGTGCATTCCCATCACCCTTGTTTTGGTCCTTGCATTCTTCACACTGCAGAGCTGTGGTTCTTGACCCTGGCTACCCATTAAAATTACCTGAGGTGATTGATTTTTTTCTAAATACATATGTACATATACATGCATATGTATATCCATACACGTATATGTGTGTATACATACCCATGCATGCATGCACCCATACACACACAGACACATGCCTGGGACCACAGGTATTTTTGTCAATTGCTCTGGGGTAAGACCTAAGCATTAGTGCTTTTTTAAGGCACCCAGATGAGGTCAGTGCAATCCACTGCTTTAGAAAAAGAAATGTCTAGTCCCCCACGGGGACAGTGCAGCTGTGGGAACCTGAATTCACGTTGGTGGCCAAAGTAAGTGAGACGGCTGAGCTCGCCACATGTGCTCTGCAGCTGGAGCACCAAGCATTGCTTTTGAAACATTAAACATTCCTTTGCTTCTCCATCTTCTTTCTTGGCACGTGGCATGTCAATGGATAGCTATGCTATTCCCCAGATATGATATTTAACAGATTCTAGGGTCTATCCTAATGAATCAGCCCCAGTGTGATACTGGTCCAGCAGCTTGAATCGCTTCCAACTCAAACTTCTTTGGCCTCGGAATATGATTAATTGCTTTTCATTGTTACTGCTGTTGGTTTAAACAGACCATAAAACCCGACATCTGATCTCATATATCAGATGCATATAAGCTATGACTGCTGATTGGAAATGCCCTTTTACTGCACTTCATTTCTCTTTGTAGTTCTAGCTAAAGAACATGCATTTCTTGACGTTATTGTTAACTTCTTGCTGAGTGTCTCTTAAAGCCAGAGATTTAGTAAGTGCCTTCTGCTTTAGGTTCCTGAATCAAGCCACGAAACTCTACAATACGACAACGGTGATGCCCGTTAACCATATTTTCTTTACAACCAGTGCCATTATGGCAGGTAAGTTTTGGCTTTTTATACATAGGTGATTCCACCCACACACAAACATAAATCAGCAAGTCTTTGGGTTATAAGGAACTGTATAGTCCATATCACCCTAGCCTCCATCCAGTGCCTGAATTTCCTCCATAACCTCCGCTAAGGGAGATTATTCTACTTTGTGTGAGTGTACCCCAGTGTTGACTACCTCCTGAGAGAGCTCATTCCCATTTTGGATCACTCTGATTATTTGAAGAACTCTAATTATTAGAAAGTGTTTTTTTTTATATTATTTAAATATAAATTTTATATTTATAATTTTAATTAGCTTCCCTGTGAATGCAAGATGCTCGTCTTAGTTCTGTTTTCTGGAGTCTTCCGCTTGCCTCCCCTTTTGATAATCAAAGCAGCTGTAATGGGCCTCTTGAGTCTTGTCTTGGGGCCAAACATCCCCAATTCCACTAACCCTGCCTACGTGCCCCTTACCAGCTTGAGCAGAGGGTGGGGCCCAAAAATTAATTTAGTGTTCCAGGGAAGGCCAGGCAGATGAGGAGAACAGAAAATATTGCCTCCCCTGTTCTGGCCTCTATTTTTCTACTCTTGCAAGGCTTTTATTTTTGTGGATAATTATATCTTAATACGACAGACACAGTGGTGTTAAAACAAAAAGTATAAATTTGAAACTTGTTCCAAACTAAAATACAGTGGATTCAAATATATCATTTCTAAATTGGGTATTGGTATGCCCTATATTATTGGCTTATTTGATGTGTTTACCACCTTCTTATCTTAGGAGTTCATTTCTCAATGCAAAGTTAATATATTTTGGGGGGCAATTAGGGATTATCTGTTTCCTAACTGGTACATTTTTTTATTTCATGGGAAACAGTGTGACTGCCAGTGAGCAATTTTTTTAGAAAAATTAGTGCATTTTCTGTTTCCCAAAATGGAACTTTACACTTAAAGAAAAAGATTATATAACTAAGACATCTAATTTTATTTTAGCATTTTATGCGTGTTGATAAAAGAAGGTAAGAAGAGATAGAGAATTTGTGTGCCCTAGAATTATGGGGAAAAGAAAAAAACAAGGTCAAAAAGAGTTAGAGGCATTGTATAGAGCCTAATAGTTAATATTAATGTGCATGAAGATGTGTAAAGAATGTAGTTCCCACGAGTAGAAAGAGCTTTCTCAGAGGACCAGCAGGGCTGGGTCTTAATACTCAGCACACTGAGTAATAAATGAGTCAAGGAGGCTGGGACTTTCTGAGTGTTAACAGTTAATCCAGTGTTCCTGATGTGGAATATAGGTGAAGCTTCTTGGCTAGCTTCTCTCTGCCTCCATCAAAAAGTATAGTTTAAAATAAAAATGATAGGGCAGTGAAGCTATTCTGTATGATAATGTCACGGTGGACACATCACATTATATACTTACCAAAACCCGTAGGACTGCACAACATGAAAAGTGAACCCTAAAGTAAACTATGGACTTTTTGTTAATAATAATGTATCAGTATCGGTTCATCAGTTATAACAAATGTACCACAGGAATGCAAGATGTTAATAACAGGAGAAACTGTGTGCAGGGAAAAAGGAGACATATGGAAACTCTGCACTTTCTGCCCAATTTTTCTGTAAACTAAAACTGCTCTAAGAAATAGTCTTTTTTTTTTTTTTAAATAAGATACCAATGTTTTGCCCACCAACTTAGTAAAGTTCTTATTTTTTTCTTTTGACTAAGTAGCCAATTCTGACTGGGCAGCCGTACTACAGTAGGCTCTCTCATGGGGTCAGGTCGCGTGGTACCACCCTCCTAGAACTGAGTTGCATAGTTTTTATCAGGAGCCTTAAAAATGTTTCTGCTCTTTGAAACAGAAATTCCACTTCTAGAAATCCATTCTAACGGCAACAACAATAACAAATCCTAAAACAGGGGGGAAAAATATGTACAAAGAAGTTCATTGCTACTTTACTATAGCAAAAAAAAATGCAGAAGCAATTTAAAATACTCTAGAGAAATGAATATTATGGTGCATCAGCTTAGTAGAATAACATGCAGACATCAAAATGATGATTACAAGGTGTGACATAATAACATGGAAAAATGCTTCAGAATCTTTCATTCAGTTGACACATACTCATTAAAATTGAACATGGCTTCTTCCTGTAAGAACTTTATTCTCCAGATAAGGAGCTCCTTGAGGACAGGACTCTGTCTTGTTCATCATGGTATCTCCTGCGCCTAGAACAGCAACTGGCACATAAGAGACTCTTGATAATTATTTGTTGACTAGCTGGCAAGGCTAACACCACACACACAAAATTAATTCCAGGTAATATGTAATTTAAAGCTATAGCATTTAATTAAAACTCTATGAAGGCTTTAGACAAAGAGCAACCATTGAGACCTACAGGTAGAGGAGAAAACCCATCAGAGCAGATGACACATGCATATTTTCCTTCTCCCAGAAAGAAGACAGGAAGAAGGAGATGGGAGACAGGGTTGGCAGTGGGAAATAGAACTGTGGTAGCCCTTCAGTTGCTAGACTGTTCTTCAGAGCCTCTGCTGCCCAAGTGGGCACATGGTCAGACCAGTAGGCCACACAGCATTGCCAAGGGTGGCAGCACAGGCAGCAGCAGCTGAAGTGTCCACCCAGGCACTCAGGTCAGGCCTACTGATTCCTGCTGTAAAACTGTGGGTGGAAAATGGCCACTAGAGCTTTGTTTACTTGCATATTTCACTGGGGCAAATCCTGGGCCTGTAAGAAATTTCTATTTGCAGAAGTTATGTTAGTTATAGTGACCTACTGATACTTATATGAGGTCTACAAATTTATTTTCTTTTCAGAATAATTGAAAATGTAAGTATGACATACAAATTTTTTAAAACTAAACTACTGAACATGTATTTTAAGGGTAATTAAATCTAGAAAAATTAATACATTAATATAATTTTTAAAAACAACAGGTAAACCCATCACCATTGGGTCAGTTCTCACTCATAGCATACTTATTATAAATATTATTACTCTAAGAGTAATTTTGTCTTCTATTCCTATTATAGGTATCATATTTTATCAGGAATTCCTTGGTGCAGCTTTTCTCACTGTATTTATATATCTTTTTGGGTGAGTAAATGCCTAAGGGGTAAGATATGTGAAATTCTATTACTTTTATATAGGATTTTTGGCACTGTACCTGAAGTATAGAAAACTGGAGAATTATATAAGAAACATCAGTTTCCTGAACTCCTAAAAAAAACATATTTTTCAACTTAACACCCCCTAGATTAGATTTCAAGCCGATCAGAGGACCATGAATGCCTCTAGAACCTCCCAGAATAAAACGCCAAGAGTAGGGCAGCTCCCAGGCTTTGGACCTAATAATATCAGGTTGATAACATCCTTTTTTTGTGTCAGGGTGCCCAGCTGGAGGCCGCTCTGGTGATTTGGTGGGCAGCTCTACGGCATTGCTTGCAAACAGAGAGTAGAACTTTGACAGAATATCACCAATATATAGAAGCTTCCACTGGCTCCAGCTGGCATTCTATTAATGCTTAGCTGCTTCTTGATATGATATTCAGCATGATCGTTGTTACGCAAACTTGAGCCAGGCTATTTTCAGTATAGGAAACCATCTATCTGAAAATTCAATTTCATAAAATATTTGGGCGAGGCCAAACTTCTAGGGTCTGGAAACTATGACTACTCTTATGGCCAAGGACAACTAAATTTCTTAGAAAATTAAATAATAAATTATTTTTTCACTAGTGTTGCATGTCAGTAATGAATCTGGGCATGCATGGATAGAAAATGAGACCGAGTGTCTGCCCAGAGGGCTTAGAGCCTGAATTAGCCTCCAGATGGTAAAAACCCGGGACAGAGATTTATTGGAAGCTGCCCAAGTCTTGGTTCTGGGTGCACGTATGATTGGCTATAGCAATTAAGATAAAATTCTAGGCAGTTTACCATGAGAAACAGGAAGAACAAAACCAATGGAATTCAAGTCACTGTGTAGATTATGGAGCTCAGTTATTCAATACCATGGGCTGTTTCAGTGTTCTTGTGTTCTTTATTGATTCTACTCTTACAGGTGTTTTCTGTCATTCCTTGGAGTGTTTTTGGTCACAAGAAATCGAGAAAAGGAACATCTGCAACAGTCTTACATTGATTTTGGAAATATTCCTGGTAAAATTGTATAATCTTTTGTTTGTAATAGAAAATTTTATCCTTATAAATTAGTCACTGCTGGTATTGTTTTGGGTATTAAATTACTATAAGGTATATTTTTCATCCTCAAAAAACTTACATTTAATGATGAAACCAAAGATGATGTTTTAGCTGTAAATGTTAATAGTCATTTATTGAATGTCGGGTTTGCATGGGACACTGGGGATATAAGAGAACTGACCATGTTTTGTTGATTTGGGTGATTTTGAGATTTCCTTCAATGGGAAAAGGGTAGGGAGTAGAGAGGGGAATGGCTACGAGCAGCAAATCCTTGCAGTAAGGAGTGCCTCCGAAGGAACAACCAAGGATAAAAGGTAAGGCTACTGAAGAGCATCATTCCTGAGAAGACAGGTAGCTTCTGCACTGTGGTGCCAAGAGTGACATTCATGACAGCCACAGAACATGAGTAGCCTCTTCCCTTCTTACCTTACTCATCCAGATTGATTTAACATGTCTCATCTTTCCAGTTCTCACTCTCACTGAGAAATAACTCGCTTTATTCATTTAGACAAGTGAAGCAAAGTCCAGGACAAAGGAAACATCTACTGTGTCCCCACCTCCCTTCCCTCCCCCAACAATCCCTAGCTTTGCTGGGGACTTAAATTGACATGTAGGTTTCCAAATAGGAGTGGAGATGTTCTCACAGCCTCCTCCACCATTCTCTTAGGACTGAGGCCTTGAAGCAAAAACCTTTAAACCCTTACCTATAAGTCTGAGAAAATATAGCTCTTTGAAATGAATTCTGTGCTTTCTTTCCTATTTGAGCCATCTTATAACCAGGAGTGTTCAGTGTGAGAACTGGCATTTACAACAAGGGTTTGTGTTGAAATATTGTTCGAGGTTCTTCGGTAGGAAGTAAAGTTTCCTTATTTTTAACTGTATGTTTTTTACTTCACAAAGCCTCACACATAGGATCAGTAACAGCCTTAGAAGCCACTATCAAAGGCTATTTTTCTATGTTTGTTTTATGTGTTAAACTAAACATAGAAAAGAAGACAGAATACTAAGGAGAAAGGTTTTGAGAAGGATGGATGCTTCTTGTTATTCTCCTGACTGACCCAGCCTGTGTTCCTTGCCCAGCACAGTAGATCCTGGGGTGAAGGAAAAGAATCTGTCATATGGACAATACATAATCCCATATCAGGGGACAGGGTGCTCCAGGGGCCTTTTCTTCCTTGACATTTATCTCTTCAGTTTAAAGCATTACCACATAGTATGAAAAGGGAGAAATAAAATGTGGTCTAGATTGAGAGGAAATTATTAAGACTTAATCTTCTGTAAGAGCTCAAAAGATTTTTTATGATTATTATCTCCACAGGGAAACAAATGTTGGATAAAATACAACCAGATTCAAATGGCTTATCCTATGGAACTTTGCCTGATGGAAGTGACTCAACAAAGAGCCAAAGTGGAGAGAAGAAAGAGGTCTAAAATGCCGAGAGGGACGGCTGTTGGCCTGTTATTCGATACCACCTTTTTAAAAAATTGCACATGTTCAATTTGTGTCAGCAGCTATTTTATGCTGACATGTGCTAGCATTAGTCTCAGTCCTTTACCCCACCTCAATTTCTGTGGACAATCAGAGCCTTCCCAAGCTTTGACAGCCTAATGTTTTCATGGAATGTAATTTGAAGTGCTTCCCACACCCTGGCCCTCTCCCTAGCGATCATCCGACCGGCTAGATCTTAATTAGAGCCTGGCTGCCTAGGCAGGAGTGTCACATAAATATGTACGCACGTGACTTGGCCACAGCGTGCATAGGTTGATTTTTCCATGTGGTGTGTAGTGTGTGTCTCTTGACTAAGGTAAACACTTTAGTCCTACAACCTCAGCCCTGAAAGAATGGTCTGAGAACATTCTTTTTTCCTAGGATATCTTTTATGAGCCTCCCCATCAAGAACAAGATCTTACCTTTCTATTTCTAAATGAGAATGGTGAATCATCTTTTCTGAAATCTAGCCCTGTTTTACTCTTAATCATCCTTTGAAAATTAAGGGTTGCTTTAAAATTAGCATTTATAAGTAGCTTCCTGTGATTGTGTATACCACAGCTAAAAGACTTTGGCTGGTGGCGTTTTTAAACTTAAAAAAGGAAAAATTTCAAAATTAGGACCTATTTTTTAAAAATATAACTATAGAATGGTAACATCTTCTTCAGCTGTAAGAACCTATTATACTTGAATTGAAACTGAAGAAAAATTTCATATTCTATGCCTTTATTAGCTATAGATCTTATAATTTATCAAGTAGGTTTATATGCTTTAACTTTTAACACAAGTCTCAAAACACATTCAAACTCTTAGTGATACTCTCACTACATACTCTTCCCCCCTCCCCAAGTCATTATCCCAAGCTTCATAAGCTCTCCTAGGTAAAAAGACAGTTGTGATTAGAGATCTAGATTGCAACGTTTAAATCTGTGGACACACAACACAGACAAGCAGGCAAACCTGGGCCTGGAAAGGAAGCCCTAATGCCCCCACACTTGAGTGGCATTTCTGCTGCAGTTGAATCATGTGTCTACTAAGATACATTTGCAGGTAGAATCCGTAACCATATCTGTTATTTATGACCTATCTAATATTTAAATGATGGTTCCTGGGTGGCGCAAACTGTTACGTATTTGACTAATTGCCAAAAGGTTGGCAGTTCAAACCCACCCAGAGGCGGCTCAGAAGAAAGTCCTGGCAGTCTGCTTCCAAAAGGTCACAGCACTAAAAACCTTATGGAGCACAGTTCTACTCTGATATGGGGTTGCCATGAGTCGGAATTGACACAGCAGCAACTAACAACAACAATATTTTAATGAGAAAAAAAGAGGTGGTCTTCATTGCATTCAACATCAAGTAGTAATCCCCATCCTTAATAACATTTCAAAACCTTCAGATCACTCTGACACATATTGTTCTAGCCAGTTATCTTTCTTTGTGTAGGCTGTTTAACTCAGAGCTATTGCTGTAGTAATAACTGTTTGGGGTCTTTTGGCTTTGTTCTTTATCATAACCTGCACTCCTGGTCAGACTGGCCAACTCACAGAGGTACCAACCAAAGGAGAGATTCAAATCCATCACCAGTGTATGAAAAATAACCCAGAACACCATGACCTCATCTATCCTGAGACCAGAAGAACTAGATGGTGCCCCGCTATCACTAATGGCTGATCAGGGCCACAATAGATGGATCCTGACAGAAGGGGAGAAAAACATGGAACAGAACCCGAATTCTTAAAAAGTCCAGACTTACTGGACTGGTTGAGACTAGAGACTCCCTGAGATTATCGCCCTGAGATACTTGAACCGAAACTACCCCCTGAAGTGACTTTTAGCTAAATAACAGATTGCCTCATAAAATTACCTCACAGTGAGTACTGTGCACCTTAAAAAATCATCTTTTATGAGACCAAATGGTCAACAGTCACTCTAAAGCAAAGATGAAAGGGTAAGGGGACAGGGAAACCAGATTACTGGCAGCAAAACGTCCAGAAGGGAATTAATGAGAATGTTAACACATTGTGAAAAAACGTAACCAATGTCTGAACAATTTGTGTAGAAATAGTTAAATGGGAACCTAATTTGCTGTGTAAACTTTCAACAAAAACACAATAAAGTATTATTTAAAAAAATAAAATAACCCAGAGCCCATGTCTGGCTTCTGCACTTTGAGTAATAATTCCTGCCATTGTTGAGGGTGCCCCACTAGTTCAGATAAACAGTCATATAATTTATGACACGTTTACTGAGTTGGTACGGCATATTGGCATTAGGAAGGTTCAGATGAGAAATATGTCTGGTGCCTTAAACTACAGATTTCAGGTGACTCTTAAAACTGGTTTCAAAGATTGCAAAAATAATTACCCTGAGGAGTTTGACTTGAACTAGGACTACATTTATAGCTACAGCATGTGGCTTTGAGCATTGTAGAATTTTGCACAGACATAAGCAAATGCCAATACTTTAGTGGTTGCCAGCATTAAATTAAAAGTTTTGAGAAATGACATTGACTTATGCACATTTAAGCAACCCAGCAATGCTTTAGAGGTCCAGGCAACACATGAAATACATTCAGATCTAATTTTACTTTCCATATTGTTGTACCAAAGTAAGGTGAACAAGAGTTTTAGTTGTACTGGCTTGTAGGGTTTTTAAAATTATACTGTGCATGAAAATAGCCAAAGCCAAACCAGTCCTCTTGGCATTGTGAGTTGGGGACCTTCAGCCAACACTTGGCTCATCTAATTATTTGTCTAGAGTAGGGGTCAGCAAATTTTTTCTATGAAGACCCATAGAATAAATATTTTCAGATTTGTGGGCCATACGGTGTCTGTTGCAATGACTCTGCCATTGTAGCTCGAAAGCAGCCCTAGACAATATGTAAACGAATGGGCATTCTTTATTTATGAAAACAGGTGGCCCGCTCATGAGCTGTAGTTTGCCAGCCCCTGGTCTAGACTCTTCTGCCTCTGCTGTGCAGCCTCTTTCCTGTTCCTGGCGTTTAAGAGTGGTACTTCGAGGTTCATGGAAAACCAGATACTATTGGAGTGTGGAGCCATGTTTTGATATTTACATTAGGATCTTTTTGTTTATGTAAGATAAATGGAAGCAATGAGTTCATTACTGGTGCCTAAGCTTCTCTTTTGAAAGCAGTGGTTCTTTTTTGAGCACCACCAACTGTACTGGAAGAGCCTCTTGATCCCACACTCCAAGTTGATAAGAACTCTGGAAATAAGTAATTGTTACTCATTAACTAGCAGCAGATTAAAATGGAGGTCTTTACCATCTGATTGTTTTCCATTTAAATATTTGCTTGCCCTCTAAGACTTTCACTACCAGAATCACTGGAGTGGGGGTGGGGAGGGACGGTACAATAAAAAGTTCTCAAGCAGTGACTCAGAATGCATTCTTCAACTCACCTCGCCACTCCCACAGGCTCCAGAATTTTCTATTCTGTGACAGAGAAAGAAAAAGACAGATTTCATAGATTAGTGCAATTCTGGTGCTATTAAAGAGTAATGGTCGTAATGTGTAAGTTTGGCTCCAAAAGAAGCAGGTGCAATGGCGGACATGACGCAAAGGGATATAAACATTGAGCCAAGTTCCTGCAGCCAAGAGCCCCTCTGTACTCCTTGTTTCCAAGCACATAGCTCTTCCAGTGGTGGTGACTGTATGCTCAGGCCACGCTAAAGGCTGCCTCATGCTTGCCAATTTAATAGGGATGCTGCGGACATAAATATAGCAGTTACTAAAGTGAACCTTCCTAACACCCTTACAGACTGCTTAAAGTCCAAGGCTGGATATAGAGGCAGTCCTTGAACTGCGTAACTGCAGACCAAACACACATGTCTGGCACCAGTGAATGTGGGGGCTTTGGTGAGGATGCTAGATAAACACCACACATTTTGAACTTTTAGAACGAGCTCTCAGAACTGAACCTAATGTGATTGTGTGGGGAATTTAGAGGCTGCTTCTAATCGTTAGGCTCATCAGCAGCCCGGCTCTCATTACGGCCGTCTTGAAGTAAAAAATAAAATAAAATTCCACACATACACAGTTTCCGTGCAAATATAGACCAGTCTTGGGCTATTAAACGTAGTGTTTTAGCAGTTGTGGTCAATGCAGGGAAGAGCCTTCCCACCCAGGAATCCTTGAGTCTGTCCCCTTTCTCACCAGCCTCAGGGTACCACACAACACGCTGCCCAGTGCCAGGGTTGCAAATCATCTACAGGAGCTGTGGTCCATTCAGGGCAATTTTTTTTTCTTTCGCTAGAGAGGGAGGAAACCTCTCCTCCAGTGCTGGTCCTTATTGAGAGTTAATGAGTCCCAACCACAATGTAAAAGAGGAATACCAATCCCAGTATCAAATAAATGTGGTGTTTCAGGATGCACCCAGCTGGGCCAGGCGCTGCCAAAAGTTTCACAGAGTTCCAGGCAAGAAGCAAGATGGTCTCCATGTTCCAGGAAAGAATCTTCTCAGGGTGCTGGCAAGTGCAGAACCGAAAACGAGCCCATCCGTTCCTGATGGGACCAGCACGGATGGACCAAAGCCACTTCACACATTCGAGCTGCTGGTATCCAGACACGAACTAATCCTTTCAGTGTGCATGCATCGCACTTTCTGAGCCTTTCCCTTCATGGTTCTAATTTGAAAACCAACCTCAGCAATTTTCTGAGGTTTGGGCTCTGCTCCCTTAGTCCAAAGCGCCTCCCCTAAACCTGCTAAACACGAAACATGAACCAAGGAGGTGAAATTAGCTCAGGACTTCTTGATGCAGGGACCTGAAGCTTGAGTTGTTTGCCTGACTGTAGACTAATTCCCTAATTATCACATGCCTGTAACTTAGCGAAGGAGCCCTGGTGGCACAGTGGTTAAGCGCTCAGCTGCTAACCAAAAGGTTGGTGGTTCGAACCCAGCAGTCGCTCTGGGGGAGAAAGATGTGGCAGTCTGCTTCCGTAAAGATTTACAGCCTTGGAAACCCTATGGGGCAGTTCTACCCTGTCCTATAGGGTCACTATGAATTGGAATTAACTCCACAGTGACAGATTTGGGTTTTTTTTTATGAGTAGCTTAGCAAATATTCATTAATTCACTCAAATACAATGGATCACCTATTATTTTCAATGTTGTGTGTTTAAAGTTATTAGAAATATAAAAATGAATTAGACACAAAGACCGGCTCTTCAGAAGCTGTCCAGTGAGGGAAATGATAACTAGCATTAGTGAGCACTGACCATGTGCCAGTTGGGCCAGTGGTAGTTCAGTGGTAGAATTCTCACCTTCCATGCAGGAGAGCTGAGTTCGATTCCCAGCCAATGCATCTCATGCGAAGCCACCACCCATCTGTCAGTGGAGGTTTGTGTGTTGCCATGATGCTCGCTATAGGGTCGCTATGATTCGGTACTGACTTGACGGCACCTAACAACAACAGCATGATGCCAAGCAGGTTTCAGCGGAGCTTTCAAACTAAGATGGACTTGGAAGAAAGGCCTGACAGTCTACTTCCAAAAATCAGCCAGTGAAAACCCTGTGGATCATAATGCTCCGATCCCCAACCAATCACGAGGATGGCACAGGACCAGGCAGCGTTTCGTTCCATTGTGCATGGGGTCGCCATGAGTC